ATAAATATAAAAGTATTTAATAATTAATTAAAAAATTAAAGTAAATATACTTTTTTAAAATATATTATATATAACGTTATAATGTATGTATTTAAAAAAAATAATTTTTTTTTTCCATATAAAAGTGCAAAATACCGTAATAATTTAAGTTAATTGCGTTAACCTATAACTGATTACCCTTTTAAGCTAAGCTTACGGATTTTTTTCATTTTAACATAGTACTTTATCTGGTCAACCGTACATGCCTTCCTCTGCTTTCCTTTGTGTCGGGAGGAAGAATACGTACAGGTTACAATTATTTACAGCAGATCTAGGTGGAGAAAGATGCGTGCCATAGTGGAAGCAGCTGGGCAGCTGGGTAAGGTAGCTGCAAGGCTTTCGTGTAACATCTGATTACATGTAGTACCTACCTCATAGGTATATACATGTACATAGCAGGACAACTTACAACTTAGAATTTACAACCCCCAGCCCTATAACACATGCTAAAAATTGCATCTTCTATACTTAAAATGCCTTGGCTGATTCTAGATGCCATACCGGCTCATGCGAAAACCTCAGGTTACTTTCGATAGTTATGCATAAAGCTTCATTCGGCATGGCATAGTCATGTCAGCCGTATTGGCCGTATTCGAAGCTGGTTCCCTTCACTTACATGGATAATATGGTAGTACAATCTGGAATCTTTTTGGTTCCCGTTTCCGCGCAACGTAGCTTCGAAGGATTCTACCCTATCACATTTTTAATATAATTAAATTCCGAAACAGTATTTAGACTACCTATCAACCATCGCTATCCATGCTGTCGTAGGCAAATCATACCAGCAAGCCTGGAACTACCGACGTCACCGCCCTCTCATATTGCACCTGATATCCTGGAGGGCTAATCGGTGAATTGTACCTAGCGGATAGAAGCTTGGGTGTCCTTGGCAAAAAGCAAAAAGACTAGTAGCCGTCTTCCATTGGCTTACCCCAGAAATACTATACTCTAGCAAGTCTAGAGTCCGGAGTACCCCTACTATGGCGAATAGAGCACTACAAGATGACGTCGGCTCATCTTATGGGAATCCTTCAAAGACCCTTTGACCAACGAGGCTTGAGGGTATAGTATTTGTACTACACCACATCCCATCCGTCATATACAACTCTCACGCAATGATCGACAGTCTTTTTTTCGAATAAAGCCTGCCGAGCCCTAGCCCCCTTGATCGAGTAGTCTTCTCGCTGTGTGGCTCTTCAGGCGGTGTCAGAGCTCTTCCTGCCTTGTCTAGTCGACTAATATAACTAGTCCCGTTCTTACTTATTGTTGCTCTTTTGTCCGTGTCAGTTTCAGTTTCGGTTTCGGTTTCTTCTATGCCCTTTCATCTAAGCTTACATCAGCACTGTATAATCTTATAGGGGGCGAGATAAGTAGACTGAAAATCAAAAGTAACCCACAACACAGCTTCACAATCGAGTGATTGATACCAAGACATGGCTTCCAATTCGGGAGATCCGCCCAAAGACGGCTCATTAGGGGAAAAGACTGAGAAGATCCAACCTCGAAAAGAGTCAGGCTATTTAGACGCATCTCCATCCGAACTCGAACATCGGGAAACTAAAGACAATATACTAGATGAAGGGGAAAGACGACGTCTAGAGGCTACGGCCAAACTAGAGAATCCTCTTGCAGGTCTCTCTCCAACACAGCTAGCCCAGCGAGGTGAGGAGTTCTGTGCGAAGCACGGCCTCACTGATGCAGACGACATTCGTGCTTTCCGACTCGGCGCTATGATCGCCGGTAACTTGAACAAGTACGACACCGTCGACGAGCTTACCGATCGTGAAAGAGAGGTGCTCGACAGGGAGATCACACACAAATGGTCAAACCCCAAAATGCTCTATGCCGTCATCGTCAACTGCTCGCTCTGTGCCGCCGTTCAAGGTATGGATGAGACTGTAGTCAATGGTGCGCAGTCCTTCTATAAGGCAGAATTTGGGATAGGAGACCCCAACTCTCAAAGAGGTAAGCTATAAAGGCGTTGATACATATTCATTCTACGTATGTACTAACCAATGTGTCCGAAAAGATTCGTGGCTACTGGGCCTCGTCAACGGTAAGTCTACATCTGTTAGCGAACAATTAAACAATAGCTGACAACCCTCCAGCTGCACCATACATATGCTGCGCCTTCGTCGGTTGCTGGCTTACGGAGCCAATGAATAAGGCTTTTGGACGCCGTGGCACTGTCTTCATTTCTTGTGCCGTATCAGCTTTAGCTTGTTTCTGGCAAGCCTTTACAAACACTTGGTGGCATATGTTCATCGCCCGTTTCGCCCTCGGGTTCGGTATTGGCCCAAAATCGGCTACGACCCGTAAGTTGCCATTTTAGCTTCAGAACGTGATGAATATCAACGGCGCTAACTATATATAAGCCATCTTTGCTGCCGAGTGTTCTCCGCCGAAGCTTCGTGGTGCTTTGGTTATGCAGTGGCAGATGTGGACTGCTTTCGGTATCATGCTGGGATACGTAATGGATTTGGCCTTCTTTGATGTCCCGAATTTGTCTGGAATTATAGGTCTAAATTGGCGCCTTATGATGGGATCTGCTCTGATACCTGCTGTTATCGTCTGTGCCATCGTATACTTCACCCCTGAGGTAAGTGGCATAGGGCCCCTCGTGATTCAATAGTTACTAAGTGAGTCTTATAGTCACCTCGGTGGTACCTTACCAAAAATCGACATGTCGATGCTTATAAGTCAATCTGTAAGCTGCGGTATGAAAAGGTCCAGGCCGCGCGCGACCTCTTCTATATGGACACTCTCCTTCAGATCGAAAAAGAGACTATGCAAATAGGCCAGAGCAAAATCAAGGAAATCCTTACCATCCGTCGAAACCGAAATGCCATGATAGCATCAGAGATTGTAATGTTTATGCAACAGTTCTGCGGTGTCAATGCCATTGCATACTATTCGACGGAAATCTTCGTTGAGAGTGGCTTCTCTATTCAATCTGCTCTCGTGGCTTCGCTTGGTTTTGGCATCGTCAATTTCTTGTTCGCTCTTCCTGCGTTTTACACCATCGATACATTTGGCCGGCGCAATCTACTCCTTACTACTTTCCCTGTAAGGTCATCCCTTTATAGCCACCCAATCTTTAGGATAGTAGCTGATTTGCTGATATAGCTGATGTCTCTCTTCCTATTTTTCACGGGCTTTAGCTTTTGGATCCCGGAGAGCAGTACTGCACATATTGGTTGCATTGCGTTAGGTATATACCTATTCGGTGTGGTTTACTCTCCAGGTGAAGGGGTAAGAGCAGTTCTGTATCTCCCGAAGAATTCTTAGTGCTAATTACATCTCAGCCCGTCCCATTCACATATAGCGCGGAGGCGTACCCGTTATACATCCGTCCAATTGGAATGTCGCTTGCAACAGCGACGACGTGGCTCTTCAACTCAGTGATCTCTCTCACATGGCCAGCCTTGCTTCAAGCCTGGACTCCTCAAGGTGCATTTTCATGGTATGCAACGTGGAACATTGCTGGCTTCTTCCTCGTACTCTTCTTCCTTCCCGAGACTAAAGAGAAGACGCTCGAGGAGCTTGACGCCGTCTTCAACGTTCCACTCCGTAGCCTCGTGCGTTACGGTGCGGACCAGTTCTTGTACTTCTGGGGCCACTATATCTTCCGCCGCAACATTGCGCCACCTAAGGCCCCATCCGCGACCAAGACGATCGAGTACACGAGGCAACAATTCTCTAGGGAGAAGACGCACGACGCAACTGCTCGCGTTTAAGCGACTTGTGTTTCAGTCCTAAAGGTTTATTGACCTTTTTTCATTTTTTATGCTTTACAAAGAGTACGATGCTATATCACCTTCCGAGCAAGTTGGTTAGCAATGGACGCGATTTAGGGGCGACGAAAACTAACAATTATTTTTCGCGGGAATGTCTCTCATTAACAACTTTTGGATACCCATTTTGAGAACTATACCTACATTAAATTAAATAAGTAAATATTTCGGCAGTGATGGACTATGTAAGATATAAAGTTACTATTTTATTATAATTGGATTTAGTTATAAAAAAAGCAATAAACCCAATTAAGTAAATTGAATATTTATTATTATAAAAAATAAATTTAATTATTATACTTTTACCGAAATGCACGTAATTTTAGTAAAAATAACACCGGCGTTATACTTTTATATAAATGTAGAAAAACTAGGGTACCTTCTATAATAATGTACCCTTTTGCGTGGGCTCTTACCTAACTTCGCTTTTGACGCATTTGGAAGCTATTATGTAGGTCCACGGTGCTTGCCACATGATATACCTACCACAAAACGTGCTCTATCTTGGGTAGGTATGTAAAGTCTTCGCGGTTATCTAATGTTTAAACCTTCTCAAGCCAAAACTCAAGTCTTTCCTCCACCTCAATATCTCCTCCATCCCATACACAACCACCATTTCCCCATCCACTATCTTACAAGTGCCTAGGCGTCGATCTAATTAATAACGATCACCGAACTCGCCTCGCCACGGTACCCAATAAAACTGACATCACGGTAAGCATCGTCTTTATATTAAACAATCAGAGTTAAGTAGAGTTCCACGAGGCAACAACAAAACCTCGAATATCTGCTAGATGCCTACTCCTACGATACACAATCGCACTAATCTTACCTACCTTGCCTTTCCCCTTCCACCCCATGAACATTTTCAAGACGATACCGTCTCGTCTCCCCGGCAACACTTCTATTTATCCCTATCACAAAACGGCATGGCATCTAACTATCAATTCTCCCTCGTGTGTTTTACTGTTGCCTGCCACTAGCCCACCGGATAGATTCTCCCCGCTCTCATGGCAAGCGTCACTCATTCTTGCTTACAATACTACTAGGTCCGCAACTAGAAATCACTTCAACCTTCATCACCTGAAATAGGCACATCTCTATTTCACCCTTCTTATTCTGCTTCGGTACTCTTAACTCGACCTTGCCCAGCTCAGTATCTCAAATAACTGGGCAATTATTTCCCCCTACGCAAGGAGTCCTAAGGTACGTTAGCATGCTTTCAACCCTCCTACCCTCGTTCATCTCTAAAGACTTCGGTCGTATTACTTTGCTATAATACATCTGCCTTTTGCGCATCTGATATTTAAACTCCATCCTTCTCATACGCTCTACCTATATTTCACTTAGTACTCACTTAGTACTCGTCTTTTATAAAACACATTACTAACAGTAGGAGTGATAGTAGGTGATATATCTATCCTTACTATTATCACTATTTTACTCGTCGCACTGTCGAACAACGTCAAAGATGGCACACGGCAACGGTACTCCGCAGACGTAAGTATTTGATGATGTGATATTTTATATATTTTACTAATATCGCGATTAGGTTTATGTGTGCTGTTGGTGGCGAGTGGCTCGCCCTTGACAAGTTCTCTCGGAACCAGATTTCCAAATGGCAGAAGATCAAGGGTCGCGATGGCGTCACTCCCGAGAATGCTGGGCTCATCTGCAAAGAGCATACACAACAGGTAGCGGCACCACGAGAGATCAAGTGCAATGGTCCTTGTGGTCTGTGGAAACATAGGGATCACTTCAGCAAGACCCAGCGTAACGACCCCGATGCAGTAAGTTTTAGTGCCCTATCGATACTCGATTCTTGTTGACTAACCGTCACAGAAATGCATACCCTGTACTCTGTGGGTATGCAATTTCAACGGAGAGGAAGCCCCCCATGGTCCCCCGAACTCTCAGCTGCTTCCCCATGAGATTCTGGCGCAGGCGACGGGCGTACAAAACGAGGCTCCTACCATTGCGTCTCCCGGTTCCGCTGTTGGCAACAGACCTAGCGGAGTTCTTTCCGATTACCAGCAGGCTCATATTAATGGAGTTGAGGTTGGTGAGGTTGATGACATGGTGGTTCGATCGGTCCTAACTATGCTGCGGGGCGCCGACTCCACCAACCCACCTGCCAGTCCCGATCATAGGGGTCCCGCTACACCTGCCGCCTCCGACGTGAACCCCACTGATAACGGCAAGCCTCAATCGGTAGCCGGCTCCACCGCACCTGCCGATGAACATACTCCTCAGCTGTACGGCTACAGCCCATTCGCCCCTAGTGCTAGTAAGAGTGTCGAAAAGGCCACGACCAGGGATTCGGCGGAAGGTAGTGAATTGCCACCCATGGTCCCGGACAAGCAGCTCGGTAAAAAGCCCGGTAAAAAATGGTTCAAAGGAGTAAGTGCTTCTAAGTCATACCTAGTGTATCCTACCTGGTAACTGATAGTCTACAGGACACTCGTAAAGTATTCTTTGCGCCACCGGCTTATGCGACTCGTCCGACGGACACGGCCAATCTTCGAGTCGTCGAAAGCGACAGTGATAGTGATTAAGCAAGTCTCAACTACGGTATACAGTGGTCAAATTGCATGGTTCTAATAGCTCGTGTTGCTACATATAAGTGCAGGTTTTCAAGGTTACAGAGAGTTAGTTGTGAATAGGTACTAACTACGACGTCGAAAGTAATCGATAATGTACTCTGTTTCACTGCGTGTTTTCTAATAAACAGCATTATAACAATGTGAACTTCTCTCTCCCCTTAGTAGAATTTGATAATACTTTTTCTCTATCCACAAGGGTGTGATCTTAACTAAGTCCATGTTTATTAAGAGGAAAAGAGCTCAAGGAGGCAAGGTGACCTCTGACTATTACTTTCTCAGGATATAATATTATATTACATTTCTCGTATGAGCTTGTCTCTTAGTTTAGGAACTTCAAACGATGATCTTCATTTTGCTTCTTTACTGTATATTGTTGACTTGGTGGGATGGCCATAAGTAGGGTGCCATGGGGGCTGCAAGACGAGTATCCTAGATAGCTGCGTCATGCAGTTTTCAAACTTGGCCGAATGAACATACGAGCCAATACAGGAAGCGCATAGGATTTGATGGATATCGTATGCCGAGTTACTGCTTGTCATCAATGTATTGATCTAGGGCGGTGCTGCTGTTAACGTGCAAGATGAACTTGGCAGAACGCCGCTGGTGCATGCTGTTCAGCTACACAATGTGCCCGCTATCAAGGCATTACTTAGCGCTGGCGCCGACCCCAACGCGTAGGTTTACGACGGCAAGACTGTGAGGGCATATGCGAAAGGTGACCAGTTAATTAGATTGTTCAACCAGGGATTTGAGGGAACCAGGCTTGAAAGCTTCAAATATCAACCATTGTAATTTTGCAACTAAGCCAAGAACACGTATACCACCCTCTACGCCCGCTGCCGCTTCGTTGAACCTGCATGCCAGCCATCGTATCGATAAGTTCCATTTTTACGTCTCTATATATCAGTCCTTCTTGAACTGGCCCGTCTCTTGCGATCTTGTGGCTTCTTTGTGTTGTTAGTTCTCCAATGTTCCGTTTTGGACGAAGCTTTCATGTGTGAAGGTTGTGGATATTCCTTCTCAATCTTGTCTCGCTCCTCTACTTTCTTCTTGATGTCAGCCTCGAGACTGGCTTTCTGCTTCTTTTTATCGGACAAATAACGTTCACGTTCCTCAATATCCTGATCTATATTGTCTTTCCTATCTCGAAGCCTCTTAATTTCATCGTCTTTATCTTGGAGCCGCCTGTCGCGCTGTGCTTTGATGTGGTCCCTGAGATACTTGTGGAGGCTCTGGGCAGACTTTGTCGTCGAGTTCTTATGCCATTCGATGAGGACTTTGCCCAAGGCTGGGGCGAGGTTGGAGTACGTCTTTTCGTTCCATGTGGCTGCGGTGATGAACTCCTTGGCGTACTTGTTTTTAGGGGATAACTCTACCAGCCCGGCCTGGCAGGAGTCGATGAAGACGAGGACATCACACTGTGCGCTCTCGATGATAGGCTTGATCACGGACCAAGGTGTGTGCCGGCCGTGCTTGCGATGACTTGGAGGAGCTCAGTTTGTGGCTCTTCACGAGGGGAAAAAAACAAAACGAAAAGGAGAAACTGGCGTCTTACCTGCTGAGGACCAGTTGATGATCATTTGACTCCGAACCATGTGCGTTTATGTAGATAATACGAGCCCCCTCGTCGCGCAGGAAATCTTCCAACTCTTGCTTAAGATTGTCCGAATCGAGGTTGATAGACTGGACTGGGCACTGAATCTTGTTCAAAGCCTTGGCAACGATTTTGTTTTCTCCCGGGTCAAGGTCAGTATTTGGGAAGGACAAAATGCATGCGTTGGCAGGGACCAAGTCTCGAGAAAGGGCTGCGACAGCGGGCGGGACTGGAACGGGGTTGGGGATAGTACGTCGTTGCCGGCTGCCGTTCATCGTGAAGTGTTTGTCAAACTGCTCTGCTGAGATAGTGATATAGGCAGAAACCGAGTCCTGTTTACGAGTGCTTTGTCGAGATGGACAGTCAAGTTCTAGTAGAAAGTGTAGGCCGGTAGATTGGCGATGCGTCACACTTCAGTCTTCAGATAGCGGGGGTAAGGGGGTGATGGGGTGATGGCGGGGCACCTGAGGCAGGTAAGCAGGTAAGCAGGTAAGCAGGTAAGCAGCACATGACCAATGTTGATAGGATCACGCCATGATTCCAATGTACCTATGTATGTAAGGAGACCCCTTATAATACAACTGCAATATATCCCATCAAGGTGTGTTAGATCGAGAGCAGAGTCCTGGTGGCATAGGACTCAACTTAGCGACAAGAGAGAACTGATAATTAAATGAATTATGTAGCTTTGGCACAATATGGAAAGCAAATAGCTGTGATGAGCTGGGAGGACCTTTGAATGCTAGAGGACGCTATATTTACAGAAAACTAAAAGTGCAACAGCATACTCGATCAATCAATGAAGCAGGGTGGAATCAGGGGCTGTGTTACAGGGAGTTTTTTGTTGCCCCCTAAAAGGCCGGGTGGCCCAAAAAGGTTCCCTCGGGTTATACTTGAAGCTATTCGCACATGCCGGTGCGGTCTCTACCGAAATCACGTGCGCCCGGGCAGGGGCACGATGACTGGATTCGTCGTTTATAACATCATTATCAACATACGATCTACGTGGTTTCGTAAGCATGTAGTGGTTATAATTTATATTTCCAGGTGGCGCAAACCTTCTTATAAATGGTATAATTCCATTTCCGTTTAAAATCACCTTTAATAGACTTCTAAATGTGTCACTCAAGTATTTGAAAAAAACCGGGTTATATATAGGAATTGTATCAATACGACCAGGTACCTAATCCACCTGTCGTGATGAGAGAAATATAATTTATTCTACATATAGCTATAAGGTAGGAGGCCAATTATATATAAATTTCCTCCTTGTATTTCATATGACTTAAAACCAGAAGTTATGGGAGAAAGTGTCCAAAGGCTGGGACATTTTTAAGATATGAACTGGTTTACCTATGCGGTGGTTTCAATATCCTGAATGTCTTGCAAATACTATACTCTGCTTAGCTACCCAATCTAAAATATATACGGCTAACTTTATCCCGGGATATATATCTTATAGGAAACGCAATACTATATGATATACCTAGGTAGTGACCCTAGATATTGAATCGAGAAGTGATACTTATACATATATCAAATTTTCTATTAACGGTGATTTTTCAGGAGTTTTAAGTACAAGTAGGACGCACGCTTTTGAATTTGAATATATTTATAAAACATGCAATACGAGTATAAACGATACAAAACATACACGATGTGAACCGGGAGTTTCGATGACAAGTCATCTCAAAACGTAAGATAGGTAGAGTGGTTGGATCTAGTGGAATGTATTTATCCCTCTTTCACATTATCATATACACTTTTCTAAGGAAACACGCCATCCGATAATATCCTGTGAAGATCACGGGGGAGATCTGGCTACACAATTTGAACATAATGTCATACATTCACATATGTGTTTTTTCTCCTATGAGTAATAGGACGCCACTGTCGTGCATACCATATAGCTCTCTTAAAGCTAGACATGCTAAAAGGACACCACCCTCGAGAGCCCGCCCAAGGTATTACCGCGGTAATAACTTACCGGTGTCGTCCTTAGCGAAATATTCCGGCCCCGTGGACTCCCCTGAAAAAGAATTGTACGCTCGACCATCCCTTTCCCACCCGAAAGCGTAACACCGATCATATGTCGTGCGTACCACATAACTTTCTCCCGAACATCGATGCCCGAATAACAAGGATGATCCTATTCAAGATGCTAATGTGTCGCCCGGCTTCTGCCAAGGACGGTAATGCTCTACTGTGACCACCCGTAAAATGCGGAGGCCCTTGGATGAAGACTTTAGGCGTTCAATTAACATCATGGCTTCCACCCCTTATCTTAATAAAGTCTTGTAGATAATATAATATGGCATGTTTCTAAATTGTCTTTGTTTTTCTTGGTATATCTCTATTCTTATGAGCGGCAGGACTGTTCGAATTTTCGGTTTATAATGGCGGAACAGCTCTCTTCGTACGACGAGATTAACCGTCCGAATATCCATACTCGTAACTGGGAGGCCCAAAGTGTTCGTATAGTGGAGTCTAAGTATCCGGGAAACGGTGCGTCCCAACATCGGCCGCTTTCTTGCGGCCACCCTCGAGTGTCCTTCAATGGCACTAGCCGCCCATCCAACCTAAGAGGTCAGCATAACTCGAATAGCTCAATACTAATGCCTATCGATTTCGTAGATGAGCGTAGGACAGAAGGGGATGAAGGTAAAGTCGGCCTTCATAGCCTCGATGCAGACGCTGATGAAAAGCAGCCGAAGTAACCGAAGGATACCGGGTCGCTAAGCCTCATCAGGGACAGTCAACTTCGAGTTCTTCAAACTCAATCACTTCTTCTTCTATCGAAAGTACAAGCACGGCTAGTACGTCTGCTATCAGAACCCCGCTAAGCCCAAAGAACACGGAAATAGGAGACACGTCACGACCGGGGGTCCGTTTTTCTGACCGCGGACCCCCTCGTACGTCTACCGGCCACCCTACGATCTATCGACGGTCCAGCATTGGAGCTGGGACGGCAGTAGAATGGGGTACCCTGTTTGACGAGAACGGGTACTCTACCACGCGAAACAATCAGTTTCTTAGAGGCCTAGCAAAATATATTGTATGTTATATATAAGAAAATAAATGACACAGTACTAGCGACTAATGCCCCTAGGGTCACAGATCGATGATTTAGCACCTAGTAGTAGTAGTCTTGTTATCACGCCCGAGAAGCTAAGTGCTCTCTATTCGAGATATAGGCTGAACCCGGAGATCTATCCTTTTATAGGTGAGCTTTGGTTAATCTGTCTAGTGATATCCGAATATTCTCAACTCGCAGGGTTTACACATGCGATTATGGGAGCTTTGCTGAAGTAAATGCACAGAAATCCTCAATTCCAGAGCCAGGGATGCCCATGATCGTCTCGCCGATTTCTTCACAGATCTGGACTGTCAGTACCATCTCGTGCAACCCGATTTCTATTCTAGGCCACGAGTCCCTGCTTTGACGCCCGCCGGGTTCGCCCAGTATTTTACCACATGCATCCTTGCGCATCCTGATGAGGAATTCCGCCGTCTTGATAAGATTGTAGCGGATGTTCAGCTTGTAGCTGATACCCCTGTCGATGGCGAGCCCGAAAGACTTCCCAGACAGTTGTTCCGCAGTCAGTTTCCCGTGAGACACGATCCCAAGTCTAAGAAGATCCTAACCGCTGCGATTGACGACTTGATATACGATCTTAGGCTGCTGGAGCCGTCTAGCCCGAGGTCCCCGCTAGCAATTATGCCGCCGCCACCGTCGTCGAGTACCAAAGACCGAAGTATCGTCCCCGTAATTCGCCGTTATGTCATTCCCGAGGAGTACACAAGGAGAGATGAATACAAACTCGCCGCTAGGTCCGAGGCGGGACAACCCTGCGGACGATACCTACAGAGTATGAATGATGAGAAATCTGGTCGGGCTCCAACGGGTAACCGGGACCGTGAACCCTACTACGAGAGAGAGAGAAGTCATTACAACAAAGAATCCAACGGCTACCGACCTGCCCCGTCGGGCGACGCTGGTAGTATTGTACTCTATTCGCCGAAAAGCACGTACCAGCGCGCGCGGAGTCCGCCGCACAGGGGCCACCGGGCCTCTGCGCCGGACGTTAGCAGCGCATCTACGAGCTATTTTAGGCCCGCCGGATACCTGCCGCAGCCACCACTGACTATCGCAGAGAGGCGCGGGTATGCAATGAGCCTCGTGAAACCAGGCGCGGCGTCTGAAAATAGCGCTCGAGAGGAGACTAGAAGACGCGAAAGCAGCGGCGGACGGATCGAAACGGACACACCGCCGACAGAGGCTTCTGCCCAAGGGAGCGGTGATGGGGGTGCGATTAGCAAAGCAGCGGCTTCGAGTCCAACCACGGCTATGAATACCTCATCGACGCCACCAGTCACCACCACGACCCCGCAGCAGCACTCACGCCGCGATAGCAACGGCAGTAAGAAAGGAATTACAAATTCGGCTGCGGCATCGTCGGAGGCAATGAACACCGGAGAGAAGGAGCACCACCACGGCCATGGCCATGGCCATAGTCATAGTCACAGCCATAATCATGGACATCATCGGCGTCGCAGCGTTGTGGAAGACGACAAAGAGCCGACGTGGGAGGAAGTATTAAAGTCACCGTCCTCTTCTCACCACCATCGCCACCACCATCATCACCATAGAACGGAGACTAGTAGTAAAGGAGGGAGCAAAAGTCAGCATTCCCGCCGTCACTCTACCTACTGAATGTAGTTCTCTGGTCCCGCTTCGTTTTGCTTGACTAAAAAGGGGGTAGGGGTAGGAAGAGTAAGACAAGGAAAAGGAGGGAGCGTAATATATAAGATCAAGATCAGGTTGATTAAGGCGTACTTAATAGTCATTCGCTACCTGGGTATCTGTGTTGAGAGGTAGTCTTCAAGTGGAAAGGGGGAGATTGATCCAAAATATGTTGTTCATTCAGATGATATTACTGTTGACTGAAAGTTTACATTCCTAGCAATTCCCATTAATTCGAATTAAAATTATATTAGAACATCTAACTACCCCAAACCAAAGAACCATGATATCGCTATGCGTACCACACATAAATATACAACGTCTGTAACGCGTATACTCAACTGCGACCAGCTTCCAAACTTGGCTGACCTCTATACGGCGTACTAACTCGAGCTACTCCTACTGTCCCATCATCCCACGAACACACATGGTTTTCAACGTGTTGTAAATCGGACTTAGGTTCGGTATGTGCTTCATTGTCATCATCCTGTTGCGGATTCACGGTCTCATACTCGAGAGCTTTGATGAAGATATAGCAGCTGGATGCAAGCAGCGAGCCTAAGATGGGGCCAATCCAATAGATCCAGAGGTAGTTGTGGAAGGACCTTATGACGACGGCGGAGCCGAAGGAACGTGCTGGATTTACGCTTCCACCTGTATAGTAAACTCCCCTATAAAATGGTATGTTAGTGCTGTTTCTATTAGGGGATTTGAAGTGTTCTGAGATGGGCCGGGAGAAAGGTCAAGGAATAGGTGAAACGTACATAAGCTCGGCAATGAACAACGACAACCCAATTCCGACAGGTGCG